TTTTTGTTGTTTATTATTAGCAATGTTCTTCCGACGTCTGATTTCTTTTTAAAAAATGCATTTCTAAAGTGCATAAACTTTTGAGATTGATTGTATAACCAATACATCCTCAAGAACGCGGTTCAGTTCTTGATTGACTTTTTGAAGTACATAAACAATGCAAAGTATATTTTTAACAAAGAAGTAAGGAGAACTTTATTACATTTTCAAATATTTCTAGTTATGCTGATTCTGAGGGATAATTATTTACTGCTAGCTAATATTTGACGAAATCGAAGTACACGTATAAAATGTATAGTATATGGCGAAGTAGATCGCAAGCACTCTAAGATCGCATACCTGATAATTTCGAAACCGCGTTACGCATAATAAGACGAACGCTCGACCGTATTTCTTCGTCTTTTGATGCTCGTCGCGTCGTTTACGTTCTCCAGACTGTATCCGGGGAGCGAGCGAATCGGTGTTGTAGAGAGCGTCACGAAATTCGCCCTCTCGAACCGTTATTTCCATAAATTCGTTTCCGCCGAGAAGATTTCGCCCTCTGAAACGTTGCCAATCTCCTCTATTTATTCGCTGTTTGTACTTTCGCGTCTGCCTCTTTATTGCCGTCACTTTACCTCGTTGCTTCTTAATGGAGATTTAAATTAAGTTCCCCGAGATTCGCAGATTTCTTTAATTCCCTTTTATTTCTTCATTCCAGTTCCCCTTCTTCTTTCTTAATTGTTTAGTGCCGTTTATTTCGTTGGATCTGTGTTAGCTAGAATATTTATATATTTTGCGACGGTTATAAAACAGTGGAACAGGTAAAAGGATGATATGGAGGATGATTTTAAACACGGGACACAGTAGGTAGTAAATTTTTAATCGAGCCAGCGGAGCATGTCAACTTCATCAGAATTTTTAAATCGTCGCATAAACCCGTGGCTGGGTTTAATTAAAGTTTTTCTCTTAACATCATTACCGTCCCGCTAGAGTTTTCATAAAATCCCGGAAACAGAAATCCCCGAAACGAGAGAAATTAGAAAAGACGTTGAAATCACCTTTGACAAAGGATAATTAAAATCTGTCAAATCCTATGTTACTAAAGTGCGTGAGAAAGCAGAATTTCAGCGTAGCCGTTCCGTGTTTTAATGAGAAATTTCGAGCCGTTGTCATCTACCAATAACACCCTTTATCAAGATAAAAATGATAAAAATAAGTGTTTGCGTCGCAACGCTCGAAAGCCAGCTGGATATAACGTTTGTTCGAAATCTCTCTCTTTATCGTGGATTAAATGTCGATTTATGTGTTCCGTTTGCGCCATAACAATTAATTTTCGCGCGATCAAAACATTACAACACCTTTAACTCTGCAACCGTTACAATACCTTTTACGATAACGTTTGTGTCCTAGAATTTATACTCATAGGATTATTCTTTTCTCTATGATTTCTGAATCAGAAGAGGAATTAAGCATTCGAGAAAAATATGAATAATTTTTAAAAACCGCTGATTTAATTACTATCGTAATTTGCTATCCTTGTAGTTGCACGTTGAAATTATATCAATAAATAACGTTCTGTGACTATTTCGTTTTTTCGCATCCGCTTTTACAACAGGAGCAAGATGCGTAAAATGTATACTACAGAACCGGTCTCGAATCGAAGTAGCAATTTTCTCATCGTAAGAAAAAAACGTAAATGCATATATCTCAGCGTTCTTGGGAAATCTCGAAAACCGAGCAGTGGAAAGTAGTTCGTGAGGCCTTGACAGGCTGGATTGCCGTATAAACGTCCTCCGGAGGACCGGTTCAGAGATCGAGCCCTGTGGCGTTGGTCGGCCGCAAACCTCATCTCGCCTGAGGCCTTTTACGCGACGGGAAAAGGCTCGAGAACACCTGTCCAGGTGCAACTCGTATAATCGAGTCAGACTTGGAACTCTCATCGAACCATGGTGTATCGATTTATACTCGAATGTATGTTTTCTTTCTCTCTCAATTATCCTCGTTTTATTTGATGATACTTTGGAACGAGCCTCCTGTATGTTTAAATTTCCGAATTTAGTAATCATACGTTCTGTTATTAAATGCGTCCATTCAAAAAATGTGAGAATACCACATCAATTATATAATAGTTAATTGTAATCGAGTGTTTTTGAACGGAGGATATGGAGGCCTCAAACGTTTTCCAGTTCTCATAGATAGTCGGACCGGGAGAGGATTTTTAATCACCTACGATCGGCAAATATTTGCTTGAGCCATACGATGGACGATGCTTCTGTTCGTTTTAAACCATTTCGAGCTCGGGAATCATTTTTGTTGTAATAACGTGGAAAGGTAAATAAGGGATCGGCCGGGAAAAATATGAAGTTCATTTGAGAACTATTAAAAACGTACGTTCATTCGACCAAAGAGAAACGGAGGGTGAGAGGGAGGAGAATGGAACAGAGGACTTGGCATAGCACGGTTGTCAAATGAGCAGATTTATTAGTAACAATAAACCAACGGTTGGATACGCGTGACGTACGCACGTTACACTGTACGGGACAATATGATTTAACCCAACGCCGGACAATGTATCGTAGAATTGTATTATAGAACAGTGTAGACATTTTGTTTTACGCAATACAATAAACTGATACTGGTGTGTACGCATACGCCATTGCGTCTTTTCGTATTGGCGTTGGTAAATCCGACCGTGACGCGGGCAGATAGAATTATGCGATTTAAAATTGGATGCTGCGTGGAATGTTGAAATTGCATTGAATGAAATAATGTAGGAATTCGCAGGGCACGTTGGCCAACTGCGACGATGTCCATTTTCGTATTTTGTTTATAATGAACGAGCATTTATTAAATGAAATAAATATTTGACGATAAATCGACACGCTGTTATAGTTTTCAAAATAGAATAGGCAGTCTCAGTTAGATGTGAAGATATATATTAGATCTTTCGGTACGTGTTTTCTCTTTGGTCGAATCCTTATTCTCGTGATATCACGAACCGATCGCAGTTTA